CTTACCGGTAACGCGTGTCCCGTCCCCGCCCCGCCCTGCCCTGCCTCGCCTCGGGCCGCAGACCCACGCCAGGGCGGCCCAGCCCAACGGGAACCGCCGGCCCAGCCCGGCCCGCCGCCCGGGGACAGCCGGACTCCGTAACGCCTCCACCGGCGCAGGAGCGGCGCTCGGCCCGGAGGGGCGGCTGCGGCCCGGCCTACCCCGCGCCAGGCTAAGCACGGCGATCTCCGGCAGCCCCAGAGGAAGCAAGAGCGGCGGGGAGCACCCAAGGCAGCGGGTCCCCGTACGAGCCGTACCTGCCCCCGCACGCTGGGCCGCGCCGGGCCGGGCGCACAAGGCAGCCCCGGCCCCTCCCGCCGCTTCCCCGTTACTACAACAACCGACGGGCGGCGGCCCCGCCCGGCGCGCAGCCGCCCCCGCCGCCTCACTGCGCAGGCGCGCTCGAGCCCGCCCCCTGCCGGCGCTCCCACCTACTCCCGCGAGGTGGGCGGGGACGGGGCGGGCGCGCCTCCCACGGGGCGAAGGATCCGATTGGCGGGAGGCGGTGTTACGTGTCGTGGCGCGCGCATGGAGCGGCGCGCGGCGCCCAATCGGAGCGCTGGGCGGTGGCGCGGGCGGGAGTGCCGTCGGTAGCGGGCGGGGACTCGGCCCGGGCCCGGCGGGCGCGCTTGGAGCCGGCCGGGAGGATGAGCCGGTTCCTGAACGTGCTGCGCAGCTGGCTGGTGATGGTGTCGGTCATCGCCGCTGGGAACACCCTGCAGAGCTTCCGCGATCACGGCTTCCTCTCAGAGAAGCTGTACACCGCCAGCCCCGGCCTCGGTAAGGGCCGCGCCGGCCGCCCTGCCGCCTGGAGGCCGCCCTCCAGCCGGGGGCCTTGGACTGTCCTCGGGGTCCCTCCTCTGGGGCCCGGGAGCTGCCCGCTGCCCCGGCGTGCGCCTCCACGGCGGGACGGGGGGTGGCAGGCAGGGCCGTGCGTGGTGTCCATGTGCTCCCTCCTTCTTTACGCAGTGAATGGGCTCCAGGCTCGGACCTTCGGCGTCTGGACCCTCCTGTCATCCGTGATCCGCTGCCTCTGCGCAATCGACATCCGTAACAGGACGTATGTAAAGCAGCACCTGAGAAATCCATTGGTTTGCTTGCTAGACACAGCCTGAGTTTAGGGGGCGGCACAGAGGAGGGGGGGAATCAAAAGCTGTTCCTGAACTTTCCATAGCGTTGACAGCATTCTCGTGAAGAAGCTCAAATAGCAGTGTGGGATTTGTGCGGTAGCTGCTGCCCCCTTCTTCCTCTGTGGGGGGACAGACTGCGCCGTTGAGTTCTGTCCTTAGTCAGAAACAGGTAGATCTGAGAACCTCTTCCTTCTCTTACTGTCACTAATTTCTGAGCTCCAGCTTGGAAAGCATTTTCTGAATGCCGTTGCTGCTCTGTTAATTAAGCAATTGCCAATGTTGTGGTGTGACTGATGCTCAATACTTTTACTATGACAGCTCAGCTAAAGACTGGGACAGTTTTAGGTGCCCCATTGCAGTGGTCTGAACCAGTTGCTTTCTTTCCTACATTTACCTGGGGCTGACAGCAAGGCCCGAGGGGCAGCCTGATGCTGAGTGGGACACACACCATTTCTCCCTGTGCTAACAGAAGAGAGGGGTTTCTGAGAGGGATTTCTAAGCAAGATGACTTGAGGTCTCTGCTAGACAAAGCCTTTATTGGAGGTTGCTAAAATGCTTTTGGCAGTGCTTCCCTCAGCCCTGCAGCAGAAGTCACTGTTCACCTGGCAGTATGTGCTTGGATTGCCCAGGGTTATCCAAGGCAGGGAGGTGCAGGGACCAAACAATATGTTTTTAGGGGGTGGTGGCAATGCCATTTATCAAGAATCAGTGGTTTCTTTGAGGAATTTTATCTTACATCTCTTGAACCTGCTCCCTTTTCACCAGCCGTGGCCCATAGAGGGTAGCAGAGCACAGGTGGGAAGACACTGGGTGATGCAGCCTGAAGTCAGCCAAGTCCTGCCACCCTAGTTCTCTGCTCATCCTGTTCTCACCTTCTTTATGTGTGTGCACATACTTCTCATTTCACTGGTGCCCTACTCGTGCTCTTCACCTTCCTTCAGGCCAGATAATGCCTGTGAATTTCAATGCACCATTAAACATGCTGCCCCATTCTCCTCTCAGCTGTTGCCCAGGGAGATTTTGCACCTCACTAGGCAAGGGACAAAGTCCCCTCTGTGCTGACGGTGAGATCAGATATGGCAGCATGCAGGTTTGCCTTTTTTCCCACTCAGCCATATTCATGCCCATAGTATGGTACGATAACGTGCTTTTTTCTGCTCTTCAACAGCCTCTATCACATCACACTCTTTACCTTCTTCTTGGCCCTTGCTCACTTCCTTTCTGAGGTCTTCATATACCACACTGCAGCTCTGACAATTGGAGTCATGGCACCCCTCATGGTAGCAAGTAAGTAGAGCTCTGTATCCTCCCCCTGCATGCTCTCCTTGGAGCTATGACAGCCCAGAAAAACTGCCCGTGCAGCTATGGGCTGAGAGGAGGGCATGCCTCATCTCTTGTCCAGCATTTTCTACACAATCCATCCTCTATCCCTGTCACAGGTTTCTCTATTTTGGGGATGTTGATTGGACTGCAGTATCTGGAGGTAGAAGCGCTATCACAAAACAAGAAGAAAAACTGAAGTTGAGGGCTTTTAGTGGGTCAGTGTCATCTTCTGCCTTCACTGCCAGACTTCCACGAAAGCTCAGCTGAACTTCTCCAGGACACCAGTCCCACTGGTGGGTCAATGTTGGACTCTGTCAATCACTGTCATTACCAAGTTGTTTTTGTCTTGTCCTGGCAACATTTCAACTGACTGATGTCAAAGACCAAGTCCCAGAGGAGTTTGTGTCAAAGCTTATGGGAGGCAGTTGGTGACTGAGTCCCTGGGTAGCAGGCAAAGCCTCTGGCATGCCCAGAGCACTAAGGACTTCGCTCCTAGTGTGCCTGTGGGGACAAGGTGCAGAACTATCCAGGATGTGCTGAACACTTTGGACCAGAAGGAGAGAATGGGTGCTGGCCCAGGCACTGCTGTGTAACTTGCATGTGTGTGTTCCCCAGGGGCCATTTCTAATAAATGAGAAAAAACTGCAATGGGCTTTGTTTGTCTTTCTGCTACACAGCAGTGGGTAGAAGAACAGAGCCAACAGCACCTTCCACTGTATGCTGCAGAATATATAATCTCTCTTTACAACAAACCTACCTTTCCCTGAGTCCTTGCCACAGAGTTCCAGGTCTGTGTAGCAAGTTATAACTACAGAAGATGGAGAAAACAGGAATAGGTTCCTTAGAACTAGAAAAATAATGCCCAAAACAGTGAACAGCACACAGAATCCAGAAAAAAACCCAGCAGGAACTCCTAGCTGGGAAGATAATTCACATGCAGAAGAAAGAGGAAACAAAGGAAAAGAACATAGCAGTAGCACTGGGCAGAAAGATGATTCTTCTGTTCTGCAGAACATTTAATGAGCCACATATAGACTGTTTCCAATGATTTAATATGAATACATCAGGTTTCATTGCACACTTCAGATGTTTATATTTTACATTAAAATTTCCATTGAAAATCATTCTGAACCCCCATTCTCAATCCCAAACTAGCAAAGATAGGAATTCAATCATAGAATATGCTGAATTGGTAGGAATTTATCAGGATCACAGTCCAACTCCTGGGCCTACACAGGACCCCTAAGAATCACACCATGTCCCTGAGAGTGTTGTCTAAGCACTTACTGAACTCAGGCTCTATCAAAATGTAGTGTATCAAAAAATGTTAAAATTTCACCAAAAAAAGTTTTGTCAAAAATAGTTTGTCAGAGAGGAATATTTTTAACCATTCCACCTCAGTACAGCTTTTGTCCCCTGCCTCAAATAATACATAAGTAACAGCATGATTTAAGGCATATTAGGACACTTGATGTCTCCAGCAGGGGTGGGATGCTGGAAAGGATGGAGAAGTGATAAAAGGATCTATAGTTGTGTTTAGAAGATAAACAGCATACAGATGGGCAGTGTCTATAAGACACAAATGCTGGTAAGTAGGCACCTTCTCCTCTGTTATCAAGTGAGAAGCTTCCACACTGCAGCAAAGCTGGACTCCATCATACCCCTCTCTGTGGCTGCGAAGAGCAACACAGCCTTGGCTGGTTCTCTCAATATAACACTTCGCAAAAGTTTGTATGTAATGTTGAAACATGCAAAAAGCACCTTATTGTTAAGGGTGAAGACATGGTCCTCAGCTCAGGGAAATAGTGGTTTGACTCACTTTTGTTGCTAATGTAGTGATGAGCTAGATTTAGGCTGCAGAACTAGTCCTTGCCTCAAGCTAGAAGGCATATTGGTATCTCTTAATTACTCCTGATATGTAAGATCATCAGGGCAACCCCAGTGAATTCTGAGTAGAAGTTTATCCAGACTAAAGTGCTTTATCTGGGAAAGCCAAATAATAAAAGAAGAGCTGGCAGCAGCTGGTGCACTGCTTTGCACTTGCTGATAATGTACTGAGGCCTCTACTACTACCTGTGCAACACAGAGCACCATGGGAACCAGGGCAGAGCAACCCCTTTTCCCTAGAGCCAGCTCTTCCAGGGCTGCTCACAGAGTTAAGTGTGATCCAGCTTCTGCCTTCCACCTCCCAGCCACATGCAAGGTGCCACCATCATGCTCAGGGTTAGCCTGGTACTGTGGCTTTTCTCTCAGCACAAATGCTTTTTCCAAGCATACATGGTGGGACTGGGAAGACACAGCAGATTTTCCCAACTTTTCCTCCCAAACACCAAAACAGCATGATGCAAGGCTAAAAGTGATGAAAGCAACCCCCCTCTTGTTTTGGTCTTTCACACTTTCCCCAAGCAGTTCACAGGGCTCCTGTCCTGAGGCTGCTCCCCTCCCATGGCATGCATGTGACAGGAGGATGATGCAGGTAGAAAAGATGGGAATGAGGGGTCTGTATCTCCCAGCTTTGCCACCCCTTGATTTCACAGCCGTGATTCCTCAAGGACTATGGGATTAGTGTAGGCTTCTGGCAACACTTTCTGCAAGTCAGAGAAAAACAGTATGGTTAGGATCCTGGCTTGCTAGTTCATAGCTCCCTACTACTGCAGAAATCCTCAAAGAAGAATCACCATCCTCAGAGAGTGCTGCTGGTTCCCTCTTCCTTCTCTTGCCCCTTAGCCTAGGCAAGGGGCACTGGGGCAGCAGGGCAGTGCAACATCCAACTGTTTAGGCTACTTGCTGTAGTCCTCAGAGCACTACTGTGGTCTGCTAATTCATTGTGGGGCTGATACCACCAGAGGGATCAGACCCACAGCCAGCTCACCAACAACATTTCACTGTGACACAAGCTCAGCTTCAAGCATGAAGCTGCAGGGCCAGTTCCCTGGGCAATGGAAAGTGCACTCCATGCCATGAGGCAGCACAGTGTCTGTGCAAACACCAGAGAGAACTTGCTTTCTTTGCATCCTCAGGAGGCTCAGCACAACCACTAGTTCCCCTGTGTTCTTACTCCAGCCTGTTTGAGGCCTCTTCAACTCCCAGACACATTGCTTATCTTGCTCTTCTTCCAAGTCTTTTCATCCCCACCCCTACCACCCATGGAAGTGCTGGTCCCCTCTGTCCTGCTTCTTCCCTTTCCCCAGCTTAGATTTATGGCTGAGATAATTCCACAGAGCAGTGCCTTCTTCAAAGTTCACTACTCATATCTTAAAGAGATGTAAGAAATAAGAGGCAAACATACAAAAGATTTTTTTTCTCCATAAATCCTGTAAAAGAACTAACCTAATTTCTTGGAACCTTAAGATGGAGCAAGCTTTTCCCAGAGGAAAAGCAAGGAAAATGGAGACTGCTGCCCAATTACCACCCCATCCTCAGTTTCATGAAACAGCCAAACTGTTGTAATTCCAGTTCAGCTTTCCTGGGTGGAGTTTGACAAACTCAGCTTCCGAGTCTTTCTGGAGTGTGTTAGGATTAAACTTGAGACTTTTTTTTCCCCTAGTGGATTTTGGAAAGCATACTTCTCAAGTTCTAATTCTGCTTACAGTGAGACAGACCAGCTGTCACCAATTCAGAAGACAGCACACAGACTTGTAAGTGTTAATGTGGAGTCTCCTGCAGCCTGGGCTCTGAGTTTACTCACTGTAAGGCAAGACTGATATCTGAGGCAGAGGAAAGAGATTCACATCCCCAGTGCAGTTCAAGAGAAATCCAGGCAGCATGGAAGGAAGAGATAGGAAACAGTCTCATTTTGAGTAGGCTCTTACACAATCTGTAGGTGACAAGGTTTTACAGAAGTCAGCAGCAATATCCCAAAGCAGAGAGTGAGATAAGGAAAGCATCAAAGACATGTCTGAAAGCAAAAGCCAGGAAGTGCAAAGAGGGAACTTCAACAAGCAGGAAGGGTGGGGGGGGGGTGCATGAAGTGGTGCAAGAGGTAGGAATAAGGGGAAATCCACACTTAGACTTCAGAAACTCCACCAGAATGCACCATGGAAGCACTCAAGCAACTCAGACCAGGTTCCCCAAGCACCTCTGGGGTTTCAGCACCAGTCATCTGCTGTGGAGCTATAGGAGCAGAGATTTAGATCAGACAGTCTGCAGGGCTTCACCACCTTTGGAAAGGAAAGCTTCTCTCACAGCTGTGAGTCACAGTACTGGAAAAGGGCATACAGATGGCCTACCTATGGCTTTGGGACAGGAGAAGGCTGCCTGCCACACAGAAATGGAGTAGGGAAGTTTAGGAAGCAGAGAATGGGTACACATTGTTTGTGCCTACTACACAAAACTCCAGCATTTTTTTATTCGCAGTATTTCACTAGAGGCTAAGCATGGTACAGCTTCCAACAGAATCCAATAAGCTACTGAGGGTGGACACTTGTCCTAAACAAACCATGGAAGATCAGCAAAGGTACTTTTTCTTAATGCAAAGGAACAGTACAAAAAGGTTTGCATGGATGCTGCAAATCACAAGCAAATGAGCACAAGCAGTACACAGCATATTCATGAGTATAATGTGCATGCTCAATCAACTGACACTACTACGAAATCTTAAGGCACAACTCTGGAATGTCTTCAGATGCATTTACAACAAAGGCAGCACACAAACAGCCTCATTGTCACGTGAAACAGGCATTTGATCCAATGATCCAAGTATCCAGAGATACAGAAAGCTAACCCAGCTGGAGCTCTGGGAACTGAGGCAGAGACAAAAGTGGGGATGATTGTTGGGACCACATTACAGCTTAATTAATAGAGGACAAGGTGTACACAAGGACATTAGGTTCATTTAATCTACTAACTGCAACACTTGTTTAATTATAACCACAGCAGATGAGGGCACCAATAGAGGAAAAACTGCTACATAGCCAATGGTAGAGTGCTTCAATGGAAAGTGAGATCTGCACAACTCCACAGCTCTGCGTGCTCTGAAGGCTCACAACTGACTCCGAGTCTTCTCCTTGCAACAGCCACAGAATTGTTTAAGCTGAAGAAGACTCTTAAGATCACCAAGTCCAACCATTTGCCCAGCACTGCCAAGTCCACCACTAAACCATGTCCCTAAAAACTGCATCTACGTGTCTTATAAATACCTCCAGGGATGGTGACTCTAACATTTCCCTAAGCAGCCTGTTCCAGTGCTTGACAACCTTTTCAGTGAAGAAATTTTCCCAATACTCAATGTAAATCTCCCATGGTGTAACCTGAGGTTGTTTCCTCTTGTCCTGTCGCTGGTTACTTGGGAGAGGAGACTGACCCCCAGCTCACTATGACCTCCCTTCAGGTTGTTGCAGAGAGTAAAAAGGTCTCCCTTGAGCCTCCTTTTCTCCAGGCTAAACAGCCCCAGCTCCTTCAGGTGCTCCTCACAGGACTTGTGCTCCAGATCCTTCACCAGCTCCATTGCCCTTCTCTGGATATGCCCCAGCATCTCAATGTCCTTCTTGTAGTGAGGGGCCCAAAATTGGACACAGGACTTGAGGTGCAGCCTCACCAAGTACAGGTGGACAAACCCTTCCCTAATCCTGCTGGCCACACTATTTCTGACATAAGCCAGGATGCCACTGGCCCTCTTGACTACCTGGACACACACTGGCTCGTGTTCAGTGGCTGCTGACAAGCATTCCCAGATCTTTTTCCAATGGGCAATTTTTCAGCTGCTCTTCTCCAAGCCTGTAGCACTGCTTGAGGCTGTTGGGACCCAGCTGCAGGATCCAGCACTCACCTTGTTGAACCTCATAAATTATCTCAACCCATGGATCCAGCCTATCCAGGTCCCTCTGCAGAGCCTTCCAATCCTCCAGCAATACTCCTGCCCAACTTGGTGTTTGGTCTGCAAACTGACTAAGGGTGGACTTGATCCCCTCATACAGGTCATCAAGAAAGGCATTAAACAGGACTGTCCCCAATACTGAGCCTTGGGGCACAGCACTGGTGACCTGATGCCAGCTGAATATAACTCTATTTACCAACACTCTCCCTGCCCATGGGACCTTTCCTCACACTTCCATCAAAGTATAGCAGCTTCATGATCCCTGCAGACCATGCCCTAATCTTAGCAGGTTAGGGCTGATTTTCCCAATTGACTCACTCTGCTTTGCCTGTTAGTCCTGTTGGCTGTGGCACTGTATGATACACACAGTCTATCACACCTTGAAAAGCAAAGGGTAGCATGGATAACTTAGTAGACCAGCCTGTGGCACAGAGAACAGCGAGTAGTAAAGCATACCACCCCAAAACCAATTCTTTAAAGGGTTCCTGGTATCACCTCCAGCCAAGAATCTGGACTGTGAAAATGATAGAGAAGTGACTCCAAATGTCTGCACCTCCTCTCCCTAACAAATGACTGACAGTTAAGTTCTTAATCTGCTCCAGCACCAGGCTTTGCTTTGCTGCACCTAGCTGAATCCCTACATCTCTGTCTGACATGAGTCTAGGGGGATCTCCACTCTGTTCTTGGAGGCTGTCTAGTCCTTCCTCTCAGCTGAGTACCTGAGAAGACCAGAAAGATTCTTGATACTCTACAGCCATTGCAGTCACCCCAGAAATGCCATTGGCTTCATGCCTGTGACACCCTGGGAACATTCAAAGTAGATTGGTGCAATTCTCCTACCTTGGTGTGTATAAGCTAGTGAGCAGGAGTGGCAATTGATGGGGTTAGATTTACAAGCTACAGTCCCATAATCCATGATCTGATTGCTGCCTTGGAGTCTCTGTAATGACAGTCACAAGTCAGAAAATATGGAGGCAAGTAGGAAAAGAAATTAAAGCGGAACAAAATAAGGAAGGGAAGCAGACAATGGAAGAAACCAGTCAAATCACCCAAGCATGTGTAAGGCAGCTGTGCCACACAGAAAAGCCCCAGTACCTGACTTTGCCAGAGCTCTCCACAAAGGCAGCACACAGCGCCCAAGCCCAGCTGGCTGATCCCCTGGCCGAGGCTTCCATCTTAATGCAGAATACCAGATTCAGCCTACCATCAGTCAGTTGAGCACCTGCAGTTGGTTGTTAAGTTTGAGAATACTCAGGTGAGCTCAGCCATGTGGAGGACACATTTGAAGGTGTTGGTGGGGTGTGCAACATGACTTCTGAGCATGTCTCCTCAGGGGGAAGGAGCTGCCAGTGAAATTTTTGACTGACTGAGACCTGTTATCTCACACACATCTCTCTGGCTCTTACTACTATCAGTTCTGGAGACTTTGAGGATTATAAAACTGATGTTGCACCACCTTTGCTCTGGTTGCAACGCTCTTCCCCATGCAGCAGCAAGCTCTTGCAATAGTACTCAGACTGAAAACGATTTATACTAAAAAGGGCTTAGGCAAAAAACGTACAGTTCATCTGATGAGAGAAATGTCTGACAAAACCTAAGGATCTACTACTAGAAGGCATCACCTTCACTGCCAAATGACCTCAGGCCCTTTCCTGGGCCTTCCACATCCATGTTATGAATTCTGCTCACAGTGCCACCAGCATTGGAGAAGGGCAGCACTGTCTTCTGAGTAGAGCTGACTCAAGACAGCAGAGAACTGAGATTTTCACACTTTGCTAGTCATGGTTGCTGATGGTCACCTGAACATTGAGTGATATCTCTGCTAACAACCTAGAAGAGGAGCCCAGAGTAATACAGAAAATAGCCTCAAGGAACCAGTCCCCTCCCTTTCCCTGCATCTTCTGACAGTATCCACTGCAATTAGTTCACCCACGTGCAAACAACTGCATTTATTGCACAGTACATTACACCCCAAGCTCTGGTGTGCAAGTATGAACTAGGAGCCTTGTCAGCAGCACTATGCAAAGTGTGAGCAGCCAGGTTGCTCAAGCCCTCACTTAGGCTCTGGCACCTTAGCTTCCTCCAGTCACATACACTGAACCCCACTTGGCAGCTAAGGGCAAGGAGTAAGGGGAGTAACCTAACAGCCTAGGGGCCTAGAATAATAGTTACTCAGCTCTACAAATGAGCAAAGCACTGAAGGCCTCAACACATTGTCAAGGGAGAGAAGCAATCACAGCACTGCCCTACATCTGGCCCTAGCTGGTATGAAGATGTGTGAAACCCTGCAGAACCCCAGAGCCTACAGATTCTGCATGACATTAACACTGAGCAAATAGAGGCCCCAGCAGCTGGCAGAGCTGGGATTACATCCAGTTTGAAAATGCCAACAAAGAGCTTCCCCAGAAGCCACCCCTTTTCCTAGAAAGGGGAGAGGTTAGGTGCTGTCCTGAGCTAAAAGCAGGGGCACAGCAGGTATTGAAGGGAGGTTTACTCACTGTCTGTTCATTTTCCAAATTGGCCTGTTGTCTTCGGAGATCAGCCTTAATGAACGCTGGAACAGAGGGAGGAAGAGAGATGTGAAGGCAGTCAAGTCACCATGCAGGGCCCAAGTCAATTTCCCCAGGCCTCAAAGGAGCAGCAGAAGCCCCAGAAGAGACAGAAACATATTACAATGAGCAAGAGAAATCACTCTCCTGGATAAGGCTGAGAACACCTGAAACAGGCAGGATAGAGATTCTTTATTGCAGCTTTAGAAGATGCAACTTTGAGACCCCAGCCAGAGTCAGGGAAAAAAGCCTCGGCTCTTCTTTGTAAGCAGAGCAGATGCTTAAAGAGGAACAGCACTGCTATGGGACTGCTGTGTGGGTTCTGCCCTTTCCTGCAGGCGCTGTGAAGCACAGACAGATGACTCTTCAATGAATTAAGTTGAAAAGAGGGTACATTATTACAGCACTGGACACATGCAGAATCATTTCCAAAGGCATGTGCAAAAAAGTCACAAGTTCCTGCTCTCTATTTATCCAAAAAAGTTTTACACACTCAAATGGTTTCCAGGACGGTTTCTACAATGCTTATTACATAAATATTAGCCCTTGCCTGGTATTATAATTAGCTGAACATCCATTACAGCTGTGCAATTGTCCTCTTTAATTGGGTCAGTGGCTCTCTGGGGAGGAAGTAAGATGTCTTCCTCATGGTAAACTCTTAATCTGTGTCTAGTTGGCAGGGCTCCTTGACTTGCTGGTCACAGTCCAAACCTCCTCTCATTCTTAGAATCCAGTGGTATTTATGGTTCCTGCACTCTTACAATACTTCATTTATCACCTGTCATTGCCAACCTTGTTTCAGTTATGCCCACCCAGTATCAATTAGTTTCCTTGTTAAGCTCTAATCACAGCATATGATCTTTGCTAATTACATTTCTAACTTAACCCCTTGACTGAACTGCACACAAAAGCCTCCAACAAATGTGCCAAGTCCAAGGCAAAGTCAGAGCAGAAGACTTAAAATATTAATTACCTGTCATAATGGTCCCCAGGAACAGGACAGAACAAAGCAAGAGGTTTCCTGCCTTTGTCCCAAAGCGATCCATGATTTGCCCTTGGCTAATGGTCAAGGCAATACCAAAAATCTACAAACAAACAAAGGTAATGTCAAGCTATACTGCTATTATAAAGCAGCCCAAACTCTTTCCAATCTTTACCAAAGTATCAGAGCATACAGGTCAGTCAAACAGTTGGCCTAATCAGGCTAAAGGTTGGTTATAAACACATCCAGGGGCATCCTCTTGCAGCTAATGGAATGACAGATGACCCTGATGGGTGGAATCCCATCTCTCGCTGGAGACGAACCAGAACTCTTAAGAGCTATGTTGGAAAAGGCAAGGATGACTGGCACCCTGAAGTATTTTCTTAAACAGAATGAGTGCCACTACAGAAATGCCATGAGGAACATCACTCAAAAAACCAGGTCCCAAGCTGCTTAGATCTGCAGTACATTACACCATAATGGACAAGAAATAGGACTCAAGGCTTGGAACTACAATTTAATCTCTCTGCCTAAAAGGAGACAAGCAGAGGGAAAACAGCACACCTACCTGTGCTGAGACATTAAGGAGCCCTGATGATGTTCCTTCTGATTCTGGGTATGTCAACTCTGCAGCAAACTCAAAGCCCAGGGGAAGGTATCCTGTCATGAAAAACCTGTAATGAAGTACACAGAAAGGAAGACTCAGCAACTGCCAAAGGAAGACCAAAGAGGTACAGTATAGACCGTAACTCGAAGCAGCATTTCCCCCAGCACAAACAGCCATGCCAGCCCACATGCTTTTCACTCTTGTCCACTGTCATCTATGGGGCTGTGGGTACCACTTGCTTCCCAAAAGCTTCCACTTACCTGAAACAATTAAGCTGAGCAGGGTCACAATAATGTCCCTCACTCAAATGAGACACATACAAGTGAGAGATGGGAAGGGCAAATAGGAGCCATTCAGATGCCATGGCTCTTCCCAGTCCCTCCCACAACAGGAGTTCTGCCTCCCTGCTTATCCCCTCCCATCACATGCTGAGGAAAGCAGCCTGCACACGGACTTACCCCAGCAACCCAGCGGTCACAAAGACCACCCAGAGGTGGTCCAGGCTCAGAGTGAAGGTATAGACTATCATTCCCACCAGAGACATGATATAGACAACAAGCGTTGTTTGCCTGCAAGAAAAAGCAAACAGGGTTTTATTTAATCCAGTCCTCCTTTTTGCCCACAGATGTTAGTATAGCTTGTAGCACATGGATTAAAAAAAAGCATTTAAAAGTTGCACAGTCTCTTGGCACTCATACCCAGACAGAGGAAATGGACTGACAGACAGCATGGAAAGGCCTGCACACAGAGCAGCACAGCAGAAGAAGAAAGATCCTACCACAGGTTGACAGGTGCCTGGTCATATATGGTACATGGCACTTGAGGGAGAGAACAAGAGCCAATTAAGGAGATCATTAATCTTTCTTGGGCATCCTCTATACTATAGTCAGTTGAATATACTTACTTATAAGCAGGAACCAAGGAGATCAAGCACTTGCAAGCAGGAAAGTAAAGAGGTGTCAACACTGCTAGAGTCTTATGGGCCTATATTTTTCAGTGCTGTCTGAAACAGCTTTCGTTGCTGCTCCTTTCTGTTGTTTAAGCCACCTGCTGTATTTGGAGAGGTGACATGCAAGCCAGGTTGCCCTCAGAGCCTCACCCTCAAGCCACGCGAGGCTTGAGGGTTCATTCAGCCAACAGCAGCTGAGGCACAAGCTCTTGTCTGGGTGCAGAGGAGACCAAGACACCCTGTGCTCAGGAGGTATGCCAGTCACACCCTGGGAACAGCCAAACCTGCAGCCAGGCCGTGCAAGGATCATCAGTGAGCTCAGCACTGCGAGACACAGGCAGCAGCCCAGGCCAGCTTCCACCACAACATTTAGCAATTGTCATCCTTGACTACACACCAAGAAAACCCTTCCCACATTAAAAAAAACAAGGCTCTTTTTAGTACAAGAGGCAGCAGTAAGTCTTCCCAGTACATAGTTTTGATGAGGAGAAGGAGGGAAAGGAGGAAAAGGTAAATACTTTACCTGACTGAAATTCCACCACGATTTTGAAAGCAAAACAGTTACCAGAGTCGATAAAACCTTTTGATCACAATCTTTTAGGAAGAAGTTACATGTATTACCACAAGCTACTTGTGTACTTTCTCCCAAACTTAAGTCTTAATCCATTAAAGAATGTGTTTGATATCAGTTCCTAGAGTTCCACTGAAGAAACTAAATCTCAAACTATTTTCACTTTTCCTTTTTAATGTAAATGATCACTGTCAAAAATCTAACCCAAGTATGCAGTAAGTATTACAATGTGTAAGAAAATGTTCCCAGTACACTGAATTACTACAGATAAATCCAGACTGTTCCAGCTAAGGTTCTCTCCTCCTTCACTGCTGCAATGACTGCAGTCAGTGGGGCACATTCTCACCCAAACGTAGGCCTGAGAAGCTAATTTCAGCCTTCAGCTATTGATCCATACTTACAAGGTTCACCAAGCTCATTTAATATATTGAAAGACTAAACAACATGCTGTGGCGAGCATGTTGTATATTTTGTTTTGTAAACTTGTTGTGTATCAAAGGAGCAGTTAAATCTCTTTAACCTCCAATGCTGTATCATTTCTAGAGTATGTTCTTTCCAAAGTTTTCACTAAAGGAAAAATTCAGCTGTGAAGGCAGCATAAAGGGACTGCTTACTTCTGTTATAATCCATTACAGAGAGCTGCTACATGGTTGGCACAGTTCCTGGAGGCTGCAGAAGGAGAAGAGCTGAAAGACCAACTGAACAAACAGCAGCCCCAGAGAGTGAAAGAGATGCAAGCAAAAGCTTTTTTCTGCGCAATACAGGTTCCTCAGGTATGTCCCATGAGTTCTTATGCCTCTCATGCCCTGACAAGCAGCCATGGAGGTAAGAGATGATTAGGAAAGCAGCTCAAAGCTAGAATTACAGTTCTGTACTGGGGCTACATGAACCAAGTTTGAACTGGGTGCTCCTTCCACAAGCAGGAGTCTCCAAAGTACATAGCAATTAGTGCTAAAATACTGTGCAGGCCTCCAAGAGGTGGCTGCAGCCTTTGGTTGAAGTTTAGTCACTGCCAGCAGGGACACGCAGCCCATGGAGTTTTATAATTTTTTTTTCTCACCACAGCCAGTTTGGGCTCAGTGCAGAGGTCTCAGGACAGTCACACAAAATCTCACTCAGTTTTCTAGGCTTATGGTTCAAGCATTCCAAGGGATTTGTATCTTATTCAGTGTCATGACAGCCGCCACATGTTGCACTTCACCCTTCATCTCCAGGCAAAGGTGATGAATGAGACAGTGACCAGATGTGGTCAAGACTTTGTTTCATATTGATGCTATGTCATTAGTCAAGCTGCAAGAGAGGAGTTCAGTTCCCAGAACGTGCTGTGCCCCATAGAGAGCTAGAGCAGGCAGACTCATAGCTGCAGGCAAACTCTTGAAGGAGTCCTTCACTGAAACTGCAGAACTGTGTAGACGACAAAATGGAGAAAACTGATCCTGCCGGGGGTACCTCATCTATCAAGTTTTCCTGAGTCATTAGGCTGCAGAAGGACAAAATTATCAACAGACCTTTGTAAAAGAACAAGACCACAGGCTTGAATGTTGTGGGAAATACAGACCAGGAAGCACCCTGAAGCCATGAACTGCTGCCTGCTCACCACACACCCTCACAGGATCTGAACAAAGAGCAGTGAATGCAAATCCTGCTGGAGGAAACAGCCTTAAGCACACAAGCAGACTTCTCCTAAACCTGAAAGGCTTAAGACTTAGACTTCAGCAAAACCCTGCTCCCCCGAGCATACCATTGATGACAAGAAAAGGAGATTTAGAGCTCAGCAGTCCAAGAAAGACACAAAATTTTGAATAGGGTTTAACTGAGATACTGGAAGACACTGGTGCATAGGGAAACAAAATCCCCTGGGGAAAGACCCAGAGGCAAAGCGTTCTCAGGAAGTGGCCTTTGACACCCTGTTCACTAGAGAACAAGAATACTCTGTAGCCATAGGAGCACTGAGGCATGGAAAAATGCCCAGGTTTAGCTTAATAAGCCTCTTATCATAGCCATAAATCTCATGGGAATGAGAAAAGCATAAAGAAGGAGAAGCAGATTCACAGAGCACATCGGCACTGCATTCTGGTGTTTTTAGCAACCTACTGCCATGATGGCTCTACAGGGACTGACAATTTTCATTGTCTGGAACAGGGAACAGAGACTGTCCACTTAACAGGCTAATTAGTGCAGTGAGCACAAGCTGGAAGTTAGGCATCCTGCCACATTACCTTAGAGAAACTGAGATTAACCCAACCCTGTGCTCTGGGAAGGAAGCATTGCTACAAAGGCACCAGTGCCAAGTCTCCATGGCACAGCCAGAGGGAGATCTGTGAAGGACCTGACACACTTGTCACTTAGATGAACCTAACCAGCCCTGACATTCATCTGCCTTCCCAGTCACATTCCCAAACCTTCTGAAGAGGCAGATTAAAGAGCCTGCACAAGGGACTGTGAGAAAAAAGAGACCTTGGGGGAAAAAAGCCAGGCAGGGCCAGCACCAGCAGGGAACAGGGTTGAAATGAAGAACACATCTCCTGCTGTTCAGTCAGCTCCAGAAGAAGCCTCAGAGTAAGGAATGGGTATGGCCCAGCCCAGCCTTGTCTCACAAGGTCACTTGGACAAAGGAAGCAAGTGACACGAAGGGATTGCAGCTGCAAAAACAATAAAGTCAAGCAACATCTGAGGCAACAAATGAACAAGCTGGGAGCAGGAGGTGGGATGAGAGGCACAGGCACATACAACAGTTTTAGCTGCTCACAGGGATGTTGTGTGAGCAGCTCCAGCATGCTCTCCTGTATGGACAGGGATGACAGATGGCCTACACAGGCTTTGCCATGAGGACAGCACATTCCAGGCTGCACACAAGCCCAAACAAAGCCCTTGATCCTATGCTCCCAGGAGATGTCATTGCTGAAGAGACAGAGGTGTCAGATGCTGGAGAAAGGGATGAATTGGAGAAGACTGCTTTGGTTTTCACCACACCCTTATCCTCTGGCATTCCGTTTTATGCCACTTTCTTCCTGTATGAAGGTCAGAAGAAAGGACAGTCTTGGTAAATTATTCATATAAGACATATGGCACAACAGAGTGAAGACATATCCACTACACAAGGACTAATCTTGTGTAAAACAGGCTATGATAAGAAGGCCCAAATTGCTGGTCAGGCTAAGCTGAGAGAGCACTCATCTTCTCACTTGAAAGAGAGCCAAGTGCCCCATCCTCCACCATCTTTTCTCCCTCCCCCAAATTTTTGTACCTTGCATCTGTACAGATCTAAAACACCTCTTGGGGTCTTCTGCCTAGTCAATGGAGAGAGAGATGGGTATTTCTGACATCTTGCCTTATAGAGATGCAGCAATGAAAGCACAGAGTGCTGACTGCAACCAGCTTGATCTGAGGCCACATGAACACTGCACTTTAAAGAAAAGCATAACCAAAGAGAAGTGCTGATTAATTCAGTTCCCAAACACCTCATTCTGAGCCAGACTACCCTACCGACACCCATGCACCCAGCAGTCTCCAGGTGTCACAACCTCATCTGTCCTCTGAGCCAGGAACTTGATGTCAAAACTATAAGGGTCTTCTCCTGATTCTATGATTCAAAGAGATGGACTGCTCTCAACAAGCCATACCACCAAAGGCAACCCCAATTCTTGCACTGCTCGCTCATCACTACATAACCCATGTGTTTATTTTAATGGACCAAATTTTGCACCTGCTATTCCAAAAACAAGAACAGTGCAGGGACTTGCCTGCCAAATAAAAGCAAGAGTGCAAGGCTTATTGGTGCCCGAGCATGACAGATGGGGAAAGCCTGACTTAGCACAGCCTCACCCTTTCAAGGAACTGCTGATGGTACAGTAAAGATCAAACATGCATGTAGAGCTCTGCAATTCCTTCTGTTATTAACCTTCCACTGCTCCCCTCAATCACAGCTGGATCCCATTCATTTGCTTCCCTCTCTCTCCAAGCTGACTAAAAAAAGGACTTAATATCTTTCCTTCCTGATTTTCATGTGCTTACCATTTTATTCTTGACACCATCTCAGCAACAGAGGGAAGGGGGAGGGTATCCACCTAGAACATCTGGCATCTTGACAGTTTTTTTTAAATAGACTTTTAAATGGGGCTAAATAAAGACTATGTAGCACTCAGGAAAAAAAAAAGTGCTAGTTTCACAGAAATCCATTTTGTAGGCTGTAATGGAGAACAAATTCTTCGTTTTAGCCTTAGGTGAGGAAAAACCCTGCTATCTCCCAATAGGCCTTGGGGTCTGTAGAATAAACTCCACGGGTGACATTGTCCTATTCTTCTGCACTGTTAGCCAGCTCTGCCTACCTATGTAATCTCTCCAAGAAAGGAGTGGACACAGAACAAATACAGGATTTGTGGATTTTTGTCTCTCTCCCATTCTCCCAAATTCCAAGTCCCAGCTCTGCATGGTGAGTCACAAAGCTCTTCGAGCCTTCATGCTGCAACCTAACCTCACTTACAGAGAACCAGGAAGATCATCCAGTCTAGCAGTGCCAGCTGAGGCTACCTTAACACTAGCCCTGGGCTGGAAAGAGACAAGTGACATTGCATGGTTAGCAGTGCAGTTCTAACAGTTGTATTTCTATTTCCCAGGACTCCCACATGAGTACTACTCAGTGCCACAACCATCTAGACACAGCAACAAACAACCTGCCAATCCCAGAAGACCTCACCTACTGTTATTTCTTATTAGAGAAGCCAGTTTTCTATTTCTGATCCCTGCACTGCACAGGGAGCTAGGGCCAGAGGCCACTTCAGAAGTTGCAAGCTCACAGCCAGCCAGATTAATCTAAGCTGTCTACAATGAGAATGTGCATTTCTGGCCCAAGGTATGAGGTAGGATAATGATAGTAGGACTCCCCCAGATGAAAAGCTGCTGCAAGGAATAAAACTCTGAAATTGCTTTCAAGTCATTACCAGCACATCATCAGTAAAGCCCCCTCTCACCCAACCTGCTCAGACAACAGGTTGTAGCACAGTTCTCAAAGCCAGCACAGAAATCAAAAAGCTAGGTGGACCCCAGTATAATAGACAAGAGTCTCTCTGTATCACCTGGAATATCCTACAGAGGTGTTTCTGAGGACCAGGAACTGTAGGACAAGCAAAGACTCTTAACTGTCCCTTTGCAGATGGCAAAGCATGCTGGCCAGATCTGCCTTCCCAACTCATAGGGCAACAAACACAGCCTCATCCACCCGTAACCCCAATAACCTTATGCCTGCCCTAAACACAGCAGCACGCCACCAACACAATGCCTCTGGGCACTGGATTCAATGTGCCTTTCATTAACTGCACAAAAATTCACAGAGGCTGGTTTGTAAGGGCTGACAAATGGTCTGGTACAGTCTTGATTCTGCTTGTGCCAAGAACTCTCTCATCCCTGGCAAAGCAGTTATTGGGCCATCTCATCTTCTCTGTGAGCCTCCCTAGGGACTGCCAACACCAGATCTCGCATGGGCCCAGTGCTGGCTAATGCACAGCTCCAAACTTCACCTTACACTAACTGGGTTTGGAAGAACCCTATTTTTTCCCCTACAAATCCTCTCAATGATTCAGTCTCCACAGTGGCAACTTGCAGCTGCACAGGGTTCCTCCTTGCACAGTGTGGAGGAAGAGCACAGTCACCAGGGCACAGGGGCAAACAAGGGACTTACTTGTAGGTTTTGGTTTTGTCCAACCAGATGCCAGAGATCAGAGCCCCAGCCATCCCCGACAGTATAATGGTGAGTCCAATCCTGCCAGCATTCACCTCCTCCCCCTGTGGTGAGACACATACACACTCACACAAGTGCAGGAGCTAACTCATAGCCAACAAAAAGCAAAGCGCACAAAACCCAGAGAGGAAGAGACAGCAAAGCTAGTCTTCTCACATGCTTTCTGCTGGTAACACAGTAACCAGAACTAGCCTTTGCAGGAACACTTTTGGGCCCACTATGAGCCAGTGCTTTCTGGTCCATGAAAAAAAAAAAGTGGTGTGGCAATTATGTCTGAGCCAACTATGAGAAAAATGTGTGTACTGGCCAGCGTGAGCAGATAGTCTAAAAGGAGTTAGCATAAACTCTACGAAGCTTGCTGTTAGGATTTGGACCAGATTGACTAGGAAATACTGGGACTCACTATGAGGCAGAACAGAAAGGAGCTCTGTGGCAGGCAGCACCAGCAGTGAGCTGTACAATAGCTCAGGTACAGAAGCACCCCATCTGTCTGCCACCAGAGCATGAGCAACCTCCCGGAACAGATGTCCCAGCAGAAATCACAGTTAGAAACAAGTAGAGGAAATTACTGGAAGATTTTCTCACAACTAAATGCTTTCAATTAAGGTGCAAAGGAGCCATCTTTTCTAGAGCTCATCAGCTTTTGCATGGGGTGGTGCAAAGGCAAAAGGGAACAGCCAACTTGTGCTGGACCCAACTTGTGTTGGACAGCAGCAAGCATCAGAGAGGGCCATGAGGGTTGGAGGCACTTACTGGGTAGTGATGGATCACCATGCGGTTCAGCAGAGTGGACAAGGCGTAGAAACAACCTACATTCAGACCTGAGAAGGGGATAAAAATGCAGCACATTCAGAGCCTGTTCCTCTCCTGCTGGGCTGTGAAATGGTAGAAATGCAGAGAGAGAAATCTTTGGGACCATCAATCCAGAACAAGGCTGCAGTGTCTCAGGAGAGTGAGCCAGACTGGCAGACATAGGATACTGAAAGAAATGCAGACCAACATCCAGGCCTCAGCATGCAGAAGGAAGAACCCTGCAGTTTCAGGATGGTTCCTATCTAAGGAGCTAGAGGAAGGGCTGTGCACATTTCTGGTCCCGAAAGGTCTTGCAACTCCTTCACAAAGTTCCAACCCTCTGAGCAACCCTGTGAGCAGCCAGATTCATCTTTTAGCACTGCAATTTTCTCCTCTGCTCCCAGCCAAGTAAAAAAACTAGAAAAGCATCTGCCTCAGCACCATACCTTGAACAAGGACCCGAGATTCAATTAACAACAGTGTCATCGACCTGTGTATTTTCCTCCCAGAGAAGAGCCTGGTCAGCATTCTCCCTGCTGACAGCCAGTAAATAACATTCTCTCCAAGGCAAGAAATGCCAGAAGACAAGTGGGAGCAAAGCTGATTGGTGAAGCACAGACAGCACTACCTTCAGGCACCTGGGCTGTGTGTCTGCATGGAAAAAGTCTTGCATTTCAAAAGCTATCACTGAGGCCTGAAAAAACCCCATGAAAGTAACTGTTTCTGAAAGAGAACTTGCATTAACTGCTACAAGGATCAACCACCTGGTGAAGGTTTCTCAGTATCACCCAAGGTGAGAATGAAACTGTTGGGGTGATCTGGTCAAGCCCTATTCAGACACTCAGCTGCATCTTACATGTAATTCTCGTTGGTTAAATGCCTTCCCCAAAGGGCAGAAAACCCAACAGCTTTGTTCAGCAGGCAGCAACATCCACATGTGCACTGGACCAGCAGTACTGCAACGGCTCCACTCTCACCTTGGGTGATACTGAGAAACCTTCCCCAGGTTGATGAGGTCTGTAACAGTCAGTATCTAACTTTCTTCTCAGAAAGTCATTTACATTTGCAGTTGGTTTCTCTTCAAGGCTTCAGTGATTCTGATGGGTGGAGGGAAGGGGACAGATTTTACCACTGCAGCTCACACATCTATAGGCTCCAAAAGGAGACATGGTTTTAAAGTCTGGCACAGATGCCTGAAATCCTGACAAAACAGATACATATCAAGTTCCCCCTTCCTACTTTTCCTCTCTAAGCCTCAGCTAAAAGCAGAAACTAACAACACAGGATACAGAAGTGCAGTCTAGCAGGCAGAGCTCTGACAGAGTGAACAAAGCTCTGAGCTCTGCTAACCCTGAAGTCCCCTATCTCCCCTTAAGTACTCAGCAATCCTGCACCTAGCCCAGTCTTCCACTGAGCCCTGGATGTCTGTTGCAGTACACAGCACTATGAGCAGCCACAAGATTGGCAGCTGGAGGGTGCATCACACTACCTTCACACACCATCTCTGACAACATTACAATTTACTGTGAGGGTGGTGAGGCACTGGAACAGGCTGCCCAAAGACATAGATGGAAACGTTTAAGGCCAGGCTAGACTGGACTCTGAGTGATCAGGTCTAGAGGAAGGTGTCCTGGCACATGGCATGGGGGTTACAACTAGATGATCTTTAAGAGCCCTTCTAATGATTCTAAACCATTCCATGATTAAGTAAAGCTCACTCCACAGCTGTATGGCACAGACAACAGACAAAGACTCTTATGCAAGTGATCCCAAATATTGCCTGTGACAATGTTTCCCACTTCAGAATCCTGTCAGAAGATTACAGGAGAGGCTAGTAAATTGAGTGACATGCTCATTAGGCAGGAGAATCGACCTAATCCTTACTAAGAGTTACTCAGAAGACTGGAAACTTGGGCAGGGCCAGCAGCTAAGGATGGGGGAGAACAACTGGAGAACTCTTAGCAAGGAGGCGCCCTCCAGCCTTAAAAGCTGTCTCTTTGCAACACTTAGCTATGGCAAACAGCTAACACACCCTAAATCAGCTTCATCCTACCTCCACCTCTGGAGCACCCCGCCCACTAGGGGACACCACAAGCTGCAGTGCAAGGACACAGGAGTATGGCAGATCAGCACAGCCCTTCTGTTTCTTCACTTCAAAGCTGGGCATAAACATTAACCACTCATTTGTGCACCTCTATTTCTCACCCAGGCAAGAGGACAGCAGCCTTGTGAAGACAGCCAGATGCTGTTCTGGTAACTAACATGTCACTAAACCAGCTTTACAGCAGCTCTGTGATCCTTGTAATTTCCAAGAGAGGGAAGAGCCTCTGCTCCCAAGCTGGGCAAAAAGTAAGAGCTGGCAGCAACACTTGGCACCAGAGTCAGGTAAAACATTCTAAGAATCAAGACAATGTGTCAAATTTGCATATGCGAGGGCTGAGAAAAGTTGTAGACACTTCATGTGTCACAGCTGCTCAGTGAAGCTTCTCTGAGAATTACAGCTGTTTGAATGACCATAAAACAGGTAATGGTTGCTTCCAATGGGAAAGTGGCCATTTGCCATCCAAAAGTGGCCATCTGAATGTCCAGCACCACCTGATTCTTTAGCTAGTTATCATGGTTTGCTTGTAATGTAGAATAATGTTTTGATACCCCAGTGTGTCCTCTATTTTATAGAGGCCAGAACAGGGAAGTTTATAGCCTACAGCTCCAAACAGAGCCCTTATTAAGCCTGAGATTAGAACCCAGGTCTCCCACAGGTAAGCAGCCTATTACCTACTTGCCAGACTCTTTCTTGTTCACCCATGTAATAGTACCCAACAATGGCTCCTTATGCAGGTCCCACTGCCCCATCACCATTCCAAATGCTGATTCTTTAACACTGTCTCGTGACTCCCATTCTATTACTCTTTCCCAGAATTTCTCACCCTTTTCCTGCCTACTGCCTCTGACTAGCAACACGCTCTCCAATGCAAAGCCCAACCCCATAGACTTGGAATTCCTTAATGCCCATTCCATGTTATACCTCAGTTTTATGGAAGCAATGTCAGCAGCCTTGGGGAAAAGGTTCTCTGAGGGTTTCCTGAAAATCAGTTCACGAGCACCTGACACAGCAGCAGTGACACCACTGTGTCCAGCACTGCAAGTCGTGCCACAAGAAAGGAACCATTGGCTGCTGGTAATGCCAAGACCTCAGAGGTCTGCAGATGTGTTCTGACCTGTCATTGTGGAAGGATCCTCATTCTTTCTACAGCCAGGCAAGACGGACAAGCAGCAGGTTAGCCCCTCTCTCCCTGATACATGCTATGCTAGCACAAAAGCCAACAGGCTGCAGATATCTTTGTGTTGGGTGGGCAGGATGACTCAGTTGCACTCATGTGGCTGCAGATGTCTTAAATCTCGGCCAACGTAACTTTTGACTTGAGTAGGAAAAACTGTCACCATATTAAACCCAGACAAGCTAAAAAAAAAAAGTTTCACAGCACAGTTCCCTCTCTGAGTAACAGTCACCATCTCAAGTCAAGCTGGAGATTGGCATGAAGCTGACACAGAGAGGAAAAGAAAAAATGCACAGACCAGCAGCAAGGGAAAATGAATTATGAGCCACTAAACAGATTTTCCACACTGTTTGTGACTGCCAGAAAAGAATTATCTCAGGAAGGTCAGATTCTAAACATGTTCTTTGTACTGAGAGCCCTCCTCTCTCCTCTAGGACTTGTTTATACCTATTAGAGCAGATGCTTTCCCCTTTCTTTTTCCTGAAGGGTAAATGTGAACTGAGCAGATGATACAATCCAACTTTAGACACAGTCAGGGTGACAGATTTTTCTGTCTTCACTTTCTGAGAGGGTATTATGTACTATGGTGAAAAAAAGCCAAACCCAGCAGCTGCAATGCAAACCAGGAGAGTTTAAGAGCAATCTGAGAGGGGCATTCCTACTTCAGTGAGAAGGAAGGGAACAGAGATTCCAGCAACTCCAAAGACCTTTAGCATCCTCACCAAGTACAAAGCCACCATCTGACTCTCTCCAACCTGCCCACTCATCCACAAGGCCTTTCAGATACAATTGCTGGCAGAATGTGCAGAACTTTCAGCAATATTTAACTGTATCTCTGAGAAGCTTCTATAGCGAGCTGGTAGGAAGACTGAGGACAAAACTACCCACAGACTAACTGGCTACAGTATACCCTATTATGCAGCCAGGCAGAGACCACAATGGCCTTTCTGCTAGTAAGAAAAACATTTCTCCATATGCCAATTCAGCATCAGGGAATAGATTCAACACATCACACTGCCCTCAAACAAACATACCGAGAATACTGAAGAGAAGCAAGCAGCAAATTCAGCACGCAAGGACAGATGGCATAAAATATTCTCTAGTCCTTCCTCCCAAGTGCTTCGCAGAGACCGCCTAGAAAGCTGACAGTCTGCACATCTGCATACTCCATATGACCTCTACAGAGATGCCTGGCAGTCATATTCATGTCCTTGCCTTCAGAAATGACTTTCATTCAGTTCTATGACTTGCACTCAGACACTTCCATACATTTCTTATGTAAGCACTTCGATTGGTTTGCTGCAATTAGCTAAATTACTAGAAAAAAAGAACAGATAAGGAAATTCCCTAAACAGCAAACAGTCAAAGACTGGGAGAACAGTTGTAGGGGCACATCATCCTCTGCGTGCTTGCCTTCCTTTTGTTCTTTCCTGCTGCATTCACGGGTAACCACTGCTGAAGAGGACTGGGCTATAAGGATTCCTGGTCTGTGGCAGCACAGGAGAGCTATCTTTATGTTCCCCTAAAACAACTCAAGCTAGTTACTGTCCCAGCAGAGCACAGAGAGCAAGGGAGAGGCTGTGATAACTGCACAAGAAGAAAGGAGACCAGACCTTACCATAAGTGACCATAAGCAGCAAAAAGTTGGCATTGCGGAGCAGGCGGAGGATTGACTGCACGTAGGAATACTCTGCAGCTGGTCTGGACTGGATCAGGGCCTGAGCTCGACTTGGAGGGTTTGGGGGCTTCTCTTTGAAGACTGAAAGCAGACACAAAAAAGCACACCTGTTTGTAGACACAAAAAAGTACACCTGTCTGTAATGGTGCAATTGAGGGGCCTGAGCACACACTGTGCCATTTCAGGGATGGCAGAGGGACTGCTAGAACCAAGTGTACAAAACACACCATTTTCCTTAAGCTTTGATCTCCATGCATGAACTTATCCAGGAACAGAAAGAACAGCTCTCTTCCAGCAGTAGCTCCTGTCTCCTTCCCAAGGGAAACATCTTGCCTTCAATTAGATTTTTGTGTAGGCAGTGTCCAGCAGCACCAAAAGAGTTCTCAAGATTATTATCAGACTTTGTCTCTAGAAGGATGACCATCCAGGTGCAAAAGTGTTATGTGGATTTACAAAAGACAAAGCAGAACTGAACAAGTCAGTTGACAAAGGTGGCCTAGTGTTCTGCAGTGGCCAGTGCCCAGGGAACAATAACCTTTGCCAGGTTTTATTTCAGGCCAAGCCATCTGCTGCCCCTTACTATCATTAAAGTAGCATCCAGAAATCCCAGTCACAGGTGATACTGCTGTGCCAGGTGCTAGACAGGCATTTTTGTACCTTGTCTATTCTCTGCCCCACACTATTTGAAGCTACATCTGATTCAGCCATCAGCAACAGAACAAACTGGTAAGAGGAGCCTATCAAAAACAAATTGCATGGAATTCAGCAACTAAACTCAGCTCTCCAGTGAGCATGCCAATGTTTCATGCTAAAGATCTGGCTTCAACTTCATGTGTTAAGCAGGGAATTGCATCTCTAGTGTCCTGCTACTGTCCTTCATGCTTTTTTCTTCTCACTCATAACTGGGAAGAGCTTGTTCCTGTGATGCCATATAATCTGCCTCTTTCTACTTTTCAGGGGTAGGCAGGTCCCAGACATAACCCAGGGGCCAGCACCATGTTTGTACGGAAGATGACTATGAAAGATTTCTGCTGGTTTTTCAAAGACTTACTCATGCCTGGAATTTATTATGCAAGCAATGGACAAAACTAAGAATTTGGCAGGCTTGCTGACCACCTCCCTTCAACATGTGCTGTTCATCAAGGGTTTGAAGCAGCAAGATACAGTATTGCATAAGCCTGTCAGCTGCATGGTAGGACACCTCCCCAGATGGCCTGCCCAGCCCATCTCCTGGCACACAGGCCCCCGTCACATATCAGCTGATCTCAGTCCCATCTGGTTTCATGTGCACACTCCCACCTCCTTACCTATAATGACCAGGATGAACAGGGCTGATGCCACACCTGCAGTCATGAAGAACATGATGCTGATGTGGTAGGCCAGCTTCTCCACATCCTCCACATTAGGGATCAGAACTGGAGGGACCAGAAAGCCTACAGCAATGCCAAGCTGAGGAGAGAGAGGGGATAAACAGAGGCATGACATGAAACCGCAACAGGGCCACTACCCTACAGCTCAGTGCAGGCTCAACTGAGCCTAATCCAATTTCACAACCAAGATGAAATTCTTCTTTACCACCCAACAATTAAAAGTCAGATACTCATTTCAATTAGGCCATAAGAGAGGTTTCCTCACTGCAATTACAACTGTCAGGATATTCAAAGCAAGGTTTTACAACACAATTGAAAAGAATGAATACCTGGCTTCATCAAAGTGGAGGTCTTGCCTGCCCTGACCTCCCCCACAAATATATGTTCCTGTTCCCATACACATCCCATTCCTTACCTTGCCCCTGCTCTAGAGCTGGCCTGATCACCTGGTAATCCAGTTTTGCTCATTAAAAATAGCAGAAAACAAGACCATCAAAACTAACCAAAATATTTGCTGGGTTAATGAGTTTTCCAACAACATAACTGCAAGGGCCGAGACACCTGACCACTCTACATAACTGAGATATTAATCTGTTTCAGCCAACTTTGATACAGTTTCAAATGAGCAGCCTCCCAGGACAAAGCTCATCCTATAACCATCAGGAGAACCTAGAAGAGCATCAGGGTGAAAGCAAAGGAAGTGTTGACAGCGCATATCCTGGATGTCAAGGTTGTTTTAGCAATGGAGCTTGGCAACTGTCCCTGGAAAAACTGCTCTGAAGTGTACAGAAAGCAAGGACTAAGGAAGGCAAGTTCTGGGCATCCCATAAACCTCACTGAAGCATGTCAGCACAGAGCAGAAGACCCAAGAGCCCTGTAACCCAGGCACGAGCTTGGACAACTTTCCCAGGCTGACTTCTAGCAAAACCTCCTTGCACACATATCTCCATGTTTCTGGGATGCTGACAGACTCATTCTGGAAGACGTGACTTACTGGTCAAGACAAAGATCTCAGAACAAATATATTTCAGTTGCCATATCGCATATTTCAGCTAAAAATCAGCTTGTGTCCCCCAGCCCCAGAAAACTCTCCACAAAATCCCTACTCCTCCATCCAGCTGGTGTACCTTTCAGATAGGAAGAAAGCTCTGTTTGAATCCTAAGCAATCTGCTGCCCTCAGGCACCACATTTAGCTTACAAAAAAGTGACTTTCAACCACGTCTGGCCAAACTTCTCCTGTGTCACACAGTATTCTCCACTGGGACCTGGAATATCCTGGATCAGAATGAGCAACAGATATCTACACTACATTCATTCTCTCAGACATTGCAGGGAGCTAGTGAGAAGAGCCACTGAGAGATTTCAGATGTGCCCCACCAGCTTAAAGCACTGTCAAGAATAAGAACATTTGAGGTTTGGTTACATAGACTGAAGACAAACCCAAGCTGTGCCATCCCAGATAGCAATTCAAGGACTGAGTTTAGGAGGAAACTTAAAAGGTCATTAGGAAGGATAAACCTTCCTAAATCCCACATGGCACAGCCAGACTCTGACACAGGACTAAACTTGCCAGAGCTCAGTTTTGCTCAGATATGACCTATGCCCAGCCTCTCAGCACAGCGACTCAGGCTGACTCTCCTCTCTGCACTGCCCAGTGACTCCAGTGAGCACAACTATCATGGTTTAGAGGCTTCAAGCTCTAATCTCCATCAAACTGCACACCTCCCCTTCCCTTCCCAAGCCTGCAGCTGCACAGAAAAGGTAATGGCATCAAGCACAGAAGCTCTCAGAGATGGCTGGTAGAGGGCAGAAGCCTGCTTGTCTCTGCAGCACATTCATTTTGCCCTCCTTGTGGCTAAGTGCAGGCCTGTGCCTCTGGGGTGCCTGGTCAGCCCAGGACACAGCCAGCTTGGGCTTCACTCCTATCTCCAGAACATTTCTGAAGATTTAACTTTTGAGGAAGAGACTCTCAACAATGCTCCTTTCCATTTGAGGGAAGAGCCCTATTGAGTCTCATAGATCAGGTTTTCCATGTGCCCCTCATCCTTTCCCAAGTAAGGTCTACAAACACCTTACTGGAAACTGACTTTTTGTTTTACCACTGTTTCATTCTTGGAAGAACTAAGCTGGATTCCTGTGCTAGGTACTTCTTGGCTTCCTTCTCTCTGCAATCACATGCAATCACATGAGCTGCTGAACTGCAGCAAACCAACAGGGGAGGAAAGACCCATGCTTTATTCTGACCTCTGACACAAGTTTCTCCAGGACCACAGTTGAGATTCAATCTTTTCCAATCTCCTTCCAGCTGCTCAATCCTGAAAAAGGATCTATCTGATATAACTAGCAGAGAAGGTATTGAGAGTCTGTGTTGCAAATTGTTTAGAAATCCTTTCCTGGGAGGTCCTACAGTCATCACTTACCCAATGGGCCACAGACTCACCCAGCTTTCTTGAACTACTTGTTGGCCTTTTCAGAAGAACCTTCCTGAACAACTTTTCTAACCACAAACAGATGTTTTGTGCTTTCTCTTCTCCTCCCCCAAAAAGAAGCAACTTTTATCCATTAAAACTTCATTATACCTTTCATAAGAATCAGGTAGCAGAATGAACAAAAATCATAGCAATAGGAGCTACATTTTATATTTCAGAGCAACTCATGCTCTTGATCAGTGAAGATAAGGCCCTTTGACTTGACTAAAACTGAAGATTTCCTGAACACTCACAGACCTTGGATTATTCATACCATTTTTAGCAAAGAAGACAAGCTCTCAACAACATGATGACTATTACACTGCATATACTTTACCTTTCACAAGGAGATTTTTAGCCTGGTTTTCAGCAGGTCAGCGTGCACATTACCATCAGTCCACAGAAACACTGTAACCAATTAACCAGAAAATGTAGAAGATACCTTAGAAAGGGAAAAATCACGTCTCCCTTCTGCACACCTTGCACATCAGGGAAAATAAAGCAATGCAAAAATAAGGTTAGTTCTGTAAAAGTCCATGCTACCCTCCTCACAGACACCATCAGTCATAAGGGATCATAATGGACCCTCTTACTAAACTTGCATCTCCAACCTCTATACAGGCAGATAGGTCTCCAATACCTAAACAGATAAGCTTGTTCTCAAAATTTGGTTCATCACTCAGAATCCTCTCACCCAAAACATCCTGATCTCTGAGGATCTCTCCAGGAGATCAGGCTGCTGGCACTTTACTTTAATAAGTCTTTGGGGTAATTTTTAAACATACTACCAGGAAAGTCAACAACTACAACAGAGAGCACTGTTCAGATGACTTACTCTTTAGAGACGGGTGAAGGATAGAAGGAATATATTTCCTACCTGAATTTTGTGAAGGATCAGTCACAACAACATTATATTCAATATTTAAGTGTGCACAAGAACAGAGAACAAAACCAAGAGCAAGTAGCTAAGAAGGTGGTGTAAATGTACCCAAAGACTTGAAACAGAAAATGACATGTCTAAGGTTAGCTGCCAAGAGTCTCCTGAAGGAAGATAATCAGTGGTGTATCAGCATAAAAACTGTAAATGAGTGATCAATGGAGGAGCGCAGGAGTGGACCCCTACCTCAAAGAAAACTACGAGTCAGCAGCAGGAACACAGAAGCCCTGTAAAATTCCATATATACCATTTATACCTACCTATAAGTAGGTATAAATGTTGACAGAGGGGACCACCAAATACAGAAGGTCAATTAAAATGTTAAAAGACAGAGAGATGCTGCAAAAGCAAAAATACACAACAGTTAGAAATTTTGACAATGCCCTTGCAAGCTAAATAAGCATCATGACAGGGATGATGCAGAGACTGCATTTTTGGATTCCATAAATACCCTCTTCTGAGGAAAACTTATAAGAGGCAGCACAGTTCGTGATTTCAACCCAGAACAGCAGTGTGACTATGATCAGTATTACAGAATGGTTCTGTACTGGACTAAAATTCAGTTGCCTTGCAACAGTGACCAAAAAAAAGGAAACACCCTCTAAAACACTACAGCAATATATAACTCAAAAGAGGAAGCTGCCTAAAAGGAAAAAAAGTGTGTTAAATGGAAATGAAGAAGAAAATGCTAAGAAATTAAATGCTTTTAAGTGTCACTAGGATTGTGGAAAAACACTAAGTCAGAGGCTCACTGTAAGCCTAGGGAATATTAGCAAAATATTTTAGAATAAAGGAACCACAATTAAGTAAAAAATAAAGACAAAAAGTCCAACAAACAAACCTCCCCCCCAAAAAAAACCACCAAAAAATAAACCACCAACAAGAACATAAACCACCAGCTCTAAAACTGGACATTATTTCTTCAAGCAAAGAAAAATTCCAGCAAGCTGGACCAAGATAAAGCAAAACCATAATTAGGCCAAAAGCACCAGAACAGCTTTACAAAGTCAAAGCTCTTCAAACACAACAAAATCAGGAATCCTGACAGAAGGGTCAAAAGATGACCAGTGTGGAAGGAGAATGTTCAAGCAAGAGATCTTGGACCATCATTCATGACATGATGCCTTATGAGTGGAAGATATTACTCAATTTTTTAAACTAATTTCTTCTATGAGGCATTTTGAACTTGTATTCAATTACAAGTTCAAAAGAACAACTCAACAGAAAATCCACACTACTGGCATACAAACATACCAAATGGTCAGTTACCAGCTATTCAAATTGCGAAGGGAGGAAGAGAAAAGTGATGCTAATTTTTAGGAGGCTCAGCATAAACAGAAGTCCCAGGAAACCCTGAAACCAGCAGCCAGCTGGTTTGGCCAAGTGGACAGAAAGTGTAGCAATCAAAAGATCTGTGCTTTGATAAACACCAATACAACAGGCTTTTCAGAAACCATGATTTCAGTATGGTCTTAGCAAGTTCCCAAGCCAAGACTTTGGAGAGTGAGTAGGATACACCCCAGATTCCATCTGGATTCACCCAATCAAACTCCTTTGAGTTACTTGTTCCAGAGCTCTGGGCAGCACAGGATCCTCTTATACTCTTATCTGTGTATCAAAGCTCTGTCCTAGGCCCTCCCTCCTTTTCTAACTACAGGTGCCCCTCAAACTGT